GTCTAGGCAACATAGTGAGACCACGTCTCTACAAAAAAATTAAAAATGGTGCACACCTCTAGTCCTAGCTAATTGGGAAGCTAAGGTGGAAGAATCACCCAAACCCAGGAGGTCCAGGCTGCAGTAAGCCATGATTGTGCCTCTGCACTCCAGGCTGGGTGACAGAGTGAGATTCAGAATAAGAATAGATAAATAAATAAAATAAAACTTAAACAATGATATGACAACAAAGTTTCCTAAGACTGTTTCAAAAGGGGAACTAAGATAGCTTTTAAAATTATAACTATTTAAGTGTCCACATTTCAAATGGATTGTAATTTTTAAAAAATTAGATGTTTGAAGCTTAGGATGCATTTTCAATAGAAACAATGGTATAAATTATTAGTTCTATCCATAGATCTATCAGGAAGAATGAATAAAAAGTTGACAGCATTATATTAGCTGTATACATTCACCAATTCGGCAGTAAGATTTGACTTTTGAGTTTTACCAGTTGTTAGAAAATGCAAATGAAGTTAAACTAGATGATATCTGAGGTTCCTGTAAGCTCTAACAGTCTGACATAGAATCAAAAAAAAAAAAAAAAAAATCAACTCAGAAAACCTATTCATAACCAATAGCGTTTCTATGCAAACTGAAATCTAATTTCTAAAACCAGGAAGACCTCTCCTTCCTGTGGGGAACAATGGCAACCCTCCTCTGGATAAGCATGAGGTGAGGAGAGAATGTTACAAACTATATACAGCCCTCCCTAGATATCCTAGGAGAGAGGGGGAGGGTTCTAAAACATCCCCTTGGATACCAAAACCCCAGGATGTTTAAGTTTCCTATATGTATAGTATTTGCATATAACCTACACACAATGGCCCATAAACTTTAAATCGTCTCTAGATTATTTATAATACCCAATACAATGTAAATTGTTGTTATACTATATTATTTATATTTTTATTGTTGTATTTTTATTTTGTATTGGCTTTATTAAAAAATATTTTTGATCCGCAGTTGGTTGCAACTGCAGACGCAGTTAGATAGGGAAGGCCAACTGTACTCCAGAATACCAGCAACTTGCTTATTCTCTAATTATTATTATTATTATCTCCTAGTCTCTACATCTTCATTCTGGGATAAGTAATCACTCTTCTATATTCTGAAATCAGAAAAGATGGCATCTAGATCATTGTTTGAGTTTTGAACTGATAGGTAAAAAACTGGGGGAGGTAATGGTAGGGGAAGACAGAACTCTCAGAACGGCCTCCACATGCAGTTGTGGAAGGGAGTCACATGAACTGAAAAGAAATTAGGACTAGTAGATATTCAAAAGGCAAGCCCAGCAACCTTCATGTAAATATGAGCTTTCAACTGTTTGTTTTAAAAGAAAGTCAGGGGTAATCATTCTCCATCTCTGTTGAAGCTATAACAAAAAGAAATGTGTGTAAGGGTGAAGAATTTAAATTTAGCAAATAGAAAGTTTTCCTAATAGAACCCCATGACAACCATAAAAATAAGTTGCCAAGTATGGTAGGCAGAATAATAATAGGCTCTGATAATAGTAATAATAGGCCCTCCAAAGGTGTCCATGTTCTGTTCCCCAGAACCTGTTATTATGTTAGGTACATGATAGAGGGAATTAGAATGCAGATGGAATTAAGGTTGCTGATCAGCTGACCTTAAAATGGGAGTGTCCTGGATTATCCAGATGGGCCCAATGTAATCACAGAGGTCCTAAAAAAAGAGGCAAGGGTCTGTTGGTTAGGGGAATAAAGGATAGAGTGATGTGAAGAAGTGACTGACTATTCCTTACCTTGAAGATAAAGAGGACCACGGCCCATGGAATACACGTGGCCTCTAGAATATAGAAATGGCAAGAAAATGGATATTCCCTAAAAGGCGAGAAAATGGATATTCCCTAGAGACGACAGAAAGGAACACATCCCATTCAACACCTTGATTTTTAGCAGAGTAAGACCCATCTCAGACTATTGACCAGTAAACTGTAAGATAATAAATCTCTATTACTTTAAACTACCAAGTTTATGGTAATCTGCTACAGCAGGAGTAGGAAAAGAACATACCAAGAAAGATAGACATTCCATTTTCTATTAAGCCTTCAAAAGCAGGATGTTCACTTTCTGAGATACTTTTATAAATGACACCATTCAAAGTTCTTTCCATCCCTGTATGTTAATTGGAAGGTCCACATGTGAACATTAGAACCAAATAATTAAGTCAGAGAACATTAAATGGGTGGACAATAGCAAAGTAAAACACGTATCAGATTCTGAAACTTTAATGCACACATTAATTTCGTTAAAATGTCAATTCTGATTCAGTAGGTCTGATTCAGTAGGTAGGAACAGATTCTGCATTTCTAACAAGTTCTTAGGTGATGATGATGCCAGTCCTCAGACCACACTTGAATTAGCAAAATCTCAGCCTTACAGGTTTAGACCGCTTTGCCTATTTAACCCCACTATGAATATACCATCCAAGAGTATATACAAACTTTTCTTGAACCTGCTTGTCTTTCAGTTAGTCAGCTGTTGTTCAGGGCAACAATATTCTTTACGATAACTATCCACTACAAAAAGGAACGCTGTCTCCATTTAATTCTGAAAGATCTCTAAGAAACAGAAGTTCAAAGATTGGTGAAAACTGACTGGCTCTATTCATACCCTTAAACATTTTGAAGTTATATAGTTATTTTGGTCTTTGATCAATGTCTCTAAACATTTTGTCTTGTTTTTGGGGGGTTTTTTTGAGTCAGGGTCTCACTCTACTGCCAGGCTGGAGTGCAGTGGCACAATCACGCTCACTGCAGCCTCGTTCTCCTGGGCTCAAGAGGTCTCCTTAGCCTCCCAAGCAGCTGAGACTACAGGCATGCAACACATGCTCAGCTAGTTTTTAAAAATTTTTTTATACAGACAAGGTCTTGCTTTGTTCCCCAGGCTGGTCTCGTACTCCTGGGCTCAAGCAATTCTCCTGCCTCAGCCTCCCAAAGTGTTGGAATTACAGGCATGAGCCACTGTGCTAGGCCTTCCAAACATTTTTTTTTCTATTCAAAGGAAAGTAGTGTAATTGTGGAGACAGGCTCTAGAGTCACAAAGTCTAACCTTGAATCTCTGCCTTGCTAATAATTTTATGAACATTTGGGCAAGTTACACAGTATCTCTGAGACTCTCTTCATATGTAAAACAGGAAAATACTGCCTATTTTGGTGCTGTAGTTTAAGTGATGGCATATATTAAGGTTCTAATGTCCACTAGGTAATAGGTGCTCAGTGAGTTTCCATCCTCTAGCCTCTTCAGATATTTAAGTCACTTTTTGGGTCCATCTCAGGTAATTTTCCTTCCGTCCTTTTGATCAGTTTAGCTGCCCTCCTGCTTCCTGTCATAGGATGAGACTCAATGGAAGCATTAAGGTGTTCCTCATATTGATGTGCTATGAATTTGCACAAAGTAGAGAACTTTTTCTCTATTCTCGGATCAAGTCAAGATCCATATCAGCATTCCCAAATCCTGAGTGGTCCGTGCTGCACTACCCTATGATCTTGTATCACCTTCCTTACAGCCTCCAGTTCCTGACTTCAAGACTCCTTTCATCTATGGTCTAACCCAGTGTTTAATATAACCTTCTGTGACGATGAGACTGTTTCATCCTAAACTGTCCAATATGGTTGTCAGTAACCAAATGGGTCCACTGATCACTGCTAATGTAGTTAGTGTAACTAAGGAACTGAATTTTTAATTTTATTTAACTTTAGCCACATATGCTAGTAGCTACCATGATGAAATAGCACAGCTGTAACCTGCCACAAGTTCATCAGTTCAAACTAAGTACAAAATGTGAACTGGAAATTCTCTCCGTTCACCCTATCTAATTTCTACTCCCTTTCAAGAATGGCTGCCACCAAACATTCTAAGCAACCATGATATTCTTCCTGATCTACTATCCAAGGTCTGGATAATCAAAAAGATCGAGATGTATTTACTAGCACTCATAATAAAGCATGCTAGTAATAGCTAAGCTGTGCCTAACACTGCGCCCAATGTGAGACATTAAACATTGTTATCAGGTCAGCCACTTAATCCTCAGAAAACTTCTGGTGGTCAAACTATGAGGTTTTGCATTGACATTTGTGGCTGTTCCTAAAGAAGTGTGAGTGAGAGTGTGTGTTGCTTTTTAAAAATAGGGACAAGAGGCAGGTTGGAAAAAAGATATAGGGAGCATTGGAGACATCGAGTGTGATCACTGCATTTTATCACATAATCAAATACATCTGTCAGAATTCTGTGCTTAAAATCACTGCACAATTTGGCTCCTGAAAATACTTTAAAACTTTCCCCCAATGTTTTCGTCATTCACTGAAGAGGTTTTGAGTGGGCCGCCATTCAACTCGATGCCAAAGTACTTTCCAAGTAATTAAGAGCATTTCTGATCTACACGTAAAAAAAGCAAAAAACAAAACAAAACAACTATAGCAAAGGAAGGTCAATCAAGAGTTGTGCTCAAGGTCAGCAGGTAAAGTGTGGTTAATGCTAAATATATATACGTATATATATATACGTATATAAATATATATACGTATATCTATTCCACCAAGTGCAGACCCGGTCCGGACAAAGGTAAGGTGGTGAGAAAAACGCTGATGTGACGCCCTTCTGAAGAAATCTCAGAAGGGAGAAAAAGATCACAGCCCTTGCGACGGACCCACTTGGGGCTTTCATGGTCAGCAGACCGACCCCACCCCGCGAATTCCTTCATGCCATAACCTCCCCGGCTCTTCAGGCCTGTGTATGGGAAGAGACTACGGTTTTAGGGCAGGAGATGGCAGAGACCTGACCTCCTCTCTTTCTGCGCCACCCAGCACCCCAAATGGCTTCGCCAACAAACAGCTCCCGGAGACACACCCTCTCCTGGCGAGACGTCGCTCTCTTCACTCAAAGAACAGCGCACCAGGGGCCTCCTGAAGCAGCCCCACCCAAGCGGCAGCCACCCACCTGCCGGGGAGAGCCGAGGCCGAGCCGCGCTCCGCGCCAGGAGCAGCGCGCGCCGCGCCGTGGGGGCGGCCATCTTGGAGCAGACCGAAAGGAAGGCCGGCCGGGGGCGGGGTTCCCGCCGGCCCTCGCGGCGTCCCGCAGGGACGAATCGCGTTCGCCGTTCTCGGCGGGGCCCGACGCCCCGCCCCCTCCCTCGGGCTCCGACGCTCCGCCCCCCCCCGCGCCGGCGGGGCGTACG